CCAGGATGATGCGGCTTAATGTTTTGCTTGAAGTGGACAGTGACATGAGCATGATTCCGCGGCAGTTGTTGCAATGATTTAGGTCACCCTTCTTTGGGGGTTTGACAAGGTAGTGCTTCGTGCAATCAATCGGCAGGTACCCTTCCTTCCTTTGTTGTTTGCTTGCTAACCTTCAGGAATAGTGGTGTGAGCATGTCTGCTGTTGCCTGTGTATGTGTTCTCAGTGCTTCTGGTGGAATGCTATTTGGTCCTGCTGCTTTCTCGGATTTCAGCAACTTTATGACGTGGTGTTCGGGACTTTGTATGTCGGAGAGCTTGTGTTCACTGGTAATTGTGTGTCTGGGCCGCTGATGGTATTTCTGGACGAGTGGCAGGTGGTAGTGGTCGTGGTGATCGATTCAAGAGTTTTTCTGAAGTGGTCAGTCTATCGTTTCCTTTGTTTCTCCTTTTTGATGGTAACTAAGTTTCCTTCACTATCTTTCATTGGTTTCATCTGCTCTGACATCTTCTCAGATAGCAAGTAACCCGGTTATTTGATACAGAGTTTTCAGGTTTCTCCTACCAGCAGCCTGTTCTACTTCACTTGCTAGTGTGTGGTGGAAGTGTCTTTTGTGTTTGCGCGCACTCTTCTTCACTTCTTTGTCCAGTGTAGTGTTATGTAGGTTGTATTCAGTTCCTCTCTTCGTTGTTCATCTCCGCACTGCACTGCACTGCACTGCACTGCACTGGTTCATCTTCTGCCCCACCATCTTCTCTCCCTCCTCTGTCAGCTGGCATGTATCCGTGGAGCCCCATTCCATTCCTTGTCTTGTTGCCTCTTCCTTCCTAACATGGTTATGCAGGTTTGCTTCCACATAGCTTCCAAAGAGTTCCAGTGTTCTTCCACGCAGGTTCCCTCAGGGATGTTGGTCAGTGTCTCCCATTGTGTGCTGATGACTGACGTGAAGATGTCGTTTGTAGTTTCGTCCTTCAGTTCAATTTCTGTTCTGGGTGTTGAACTTGAACTGTGGTCTATCACCAACTTCTGTGAAGTCTTTCAACTTGATTTTGAAGGTAGGTAGGTAGGTTCCTTGCAGTAGATGGTGAGTGGTGTGAAGCTACATCTGCTCTCCTTCTTGATCTGATCTTGTGTCCAGTAGGCTGCATCTTCACTTTCTTCAGATTGAGATGAAGTCGATCTGATTTTTAGTGTAGTGTGTCCTGGTGTCTGGTGAAATGCATGTCACACTGCCTTGTGAATATCGTTGTATTTGTTCACACTGCCTCCAGTGACCAAATGGTTGAATGCGCAGAAGTCTGCAAACAGTTCTGCATTCTCATACATCATTTTATCTAGTGCTTCTCGACCCATGGTGAGTTCTCTTCCTGTGTTGTCCGCTCCGAGTTTGGGATTCATGTCACCCATTAGAATTTTGATGTTTCCAACTGGAGTCTTGTCTAGTACCGATTGGAGTTGTCTGTAGAATTCCTCCTTCTTATCTTGATCTGCATTATTTGTAGGTGCGTAGCGTAGCGTAGCATTGTACTGTTGTAACTTTCCTTCCTTTTGATTTGAACCTTTTTCTCAGGATCATATATATTGATGGTATTTATTATACATTTGCTGATCTTAAAATTTTATAAAATTATCTTTGGGAAGAATTAAAATCTACTTAAAATATGTATGCCCATAATAATGGAGAAAAAATATCTTCAAGATAAATATGTTCTGTTGAAGTGTTGAAGTCACTATCCAGTAATTCTTGGCTGTCTTGGTCCCCGTATGAGTATGGACTGTTTATGGGTGTAAATTTTCATCTATTGGCCTGAAGTTATTTCATGATATCTTGTGGCGAACAGTCTGATAAATTACATCGCAGCTCTTGATAAATTCATGGAAACAATTTAGTATCCCGCAATGAAAGTAACATGATAACTAGGAGTAATACATGAACCATACTAACTCAGTGAGATACTTTGACTAGATGCGAATACTGACTGTTCGCCCTCAGTATCTTATACTTAACTGAACCAGGATAATATCAGAAGATGAGACTGGCGTATGACTGTGAGGAAGACGAAACTAATTTTACAAAAATGCACCATTTATATACAGTTTTCATGAACATATAAAACCACTTCGTCAAAAGTTATATAACCTATTGTGATTGGTCAGCTGTAGAATAAAATTGCTCAGTAAGATTTTCCTTACCATACGGCAACATAATTTTAACTTACCAGTTGATGACTTAAAATGGTGATTTCTATTTAGGCTGCTTCCAAGGAAACCTGTTCTGAATTCCATCTTGCTTTCCAGCTGTTATTCAACAGCCCTGCACTTGCGACGAAAACCATGACGTAAAATTAAGCAAAAAATTCGTAGATTTTTAGCTTCATATTAATGTAGATAATTCTGTGAGACCGACCGTTATCGCATCTATTGCAGTCAATTTATCGAAGTTCATCCTATTGAGAGAATTTATTACACATACAACGTTAGGCATCAGGTCTACATAGATTTTTATCCATCATTTTACCTCACAACGAAGTCCTGAATATACGTCTACCGACAACTTAAATTGTAACTGTTTAAAAAATGGGCCGACAAAATAGGACAGTAAGTTGTTTCGATTTTGTACGATTCATGGTACATCCCCCAATACGTACCGTAAATCTTTAGTAGTTACTTTACAAGAAACCTGGTTGCATGATCACCATGATTATAATTCAGTTTCTCTTAATGGTTTTAAAATTCTCCGTCAGGATCGACATTTCTCTACTAAGAATTGTGGAGGTGCTGTAGCTACCTTCATCAATGGTACACTCCGAGTTGCATATGCTTCAGATTGTCAAATTATTGTACAGATTGCATCACTGTAAAATGCCACTGAAAACATCAAGACAAATAACACTTTATTTATATTACAAATATTTGTGACGCTCGATTGCGGTTGTCCCAAATTATCTAGTTTCTCTGATATATTCACGGAATTCTCAGCCATCATACTCAGCTGTCGATAATATGTAGTAATTTTAATTCTTGTGACCTTAGCTTTCAAACAATTCTCGGTCAGAGTCCGACACTAGACTTCGTATACATCAGTGATGCTGATATATATGAAACTGGAAATAAAACCACATTGCTTAGTTCATACCATTGCATTATTCGTATTCTGACCAAAATATGTGGTGAACTACACAAAATAGTCTTCACATATTGGTATTAGAAAATCGTAGATGAAAACTGTTCGCAAAGCAACATACTTCTACTAAGGAAGATGCTACAAGGTGCAGACTGGAATACATCTGGCAGCGATGTTTTGAACGACACTAATTGTGATATTACATGTTATCCCAAGTATTGACAAGATGTCTGTTAGCCTAGTGAAAAACCATTTCTACGCTTCAGTCATTTATTTTCCCCTAAACATATGAGAATAAGAAATGCTATATAAAGTAAGTGCTCACACCACTATTCCTGAAGGTTAGCAAGCAAACAACAAAGGAAGGAAGGGTACCTGCCGATTGATTGCACGAAGCACTACCTTGTCAAACCCCCAAAGAAGGGTGACCTAAATCATTGCAACAACTGCCGCGGAATCATGCTCATGTCACTGTCCACTTCAAGCAAAACATTAAGCCGCATCATCCTGGAGAGACTAAACAATGCTCTGCATTCGAAATTACAACCGGAACAGGCTGGCTGGCTGGCTAGCTAGCTAGCTAGCTAGCTAGCTGGTTGTCTTCAGGAAGAACAAATCATGTGCACATCAAATTGCAATGCTACACTACGCATCATCATAGAACACACCAGAGAATGGAAGTCAACTCTCTACCTCAACTTCATCAACTTTGAAAAGGCCTTCGACAGCGTCGACCGAGAACTAATCCAGCAACTGCTTCGACTCTACGGTCTTAGTGCCATTCAACAGCTATAAGCTACATGATGTCATATGCCAAGTGATTCACAATGGAAAGCTCAGTGACGCCTTTGAAGTGAAGACTGGAAGGAGTAAGACAAGTAAGGCTGTCTACTATCACCGATGATCTTCTTGATTGTGGCCGACTGGATCATACAGCAGACAACTGTGAGGAGCGAGATGATGGCCTTACGCTGCTTGGACCGATGAAGAGACGATTCCAGAAGATTTGGATTTCGCCAATGATGATTTATGTCTAATGTCGCACAAGCTGGAAGATCTACAGGCGAAGACCAACAAGTTGACAGAAAAGGTCATGCAGCCAAGACGAGACTTCCTTCAGGTGAACGTAGAGAAGACGGAGGTGATAAAGATACCCAACCTACAACAGTATCAACAACAGCATCAACAACAAGCACCAATCACCATTAACGGGAGAAACTCAAAGGAAGTTGTCTCTTTCACCCATCTAGCTAGGTAGGGCAGCATCGTTCCAACTACATGCGGCACAGACGAGGATGTCAAAACCAGGATCGGAAAGACAACAAGACAGGCTTTCACCAATTTGGAATCAGTGTGGAGATCCACAACACTCAACACAAAGAACAAGATCCGGATTTTCAAAAACGATGTCAAGTCAGTGCTTCTGTATGGCTCAGAAACTTGGCGCGTCATGAAAAGCATTTTTAACAAACTACAGACATACATCACATCAACAGCTACCGCTTAAACTCACTCGATACCGAAGATCAGATGGCCAGAGTAGTAAGAATAATCAACGAGGGACTGTAGCCGGGCAACGAACCAACCAACAACCCATCACCCAACAAATATGCAGAAGAAAGTGGAGATGGATTGGACATACACTGAGGAAGTCAACTGGAGACATCATGAACCAGGCACTTGAGTTGAAGTCAAAGAGGGAAACGACGAGTTGGGCGTCGGAGCCGAGGGTGACATTGAGGAGATCGTGTGAGGAAGAAATGAACGGTTGTGGGCAATCGTGGAGGCAGGTTTAAATGATTGTAGGTGAAAGAGTGAAATTGCGACATTCTGCTGAAGCCCTATGTTCCACTAGGAACCGAAGGAAGAAATAATAGATAATAATGAATATATATATTATCATAACTTGAATAGGAGTATATTTGTCAGCAGGAAACAGAACAAACTAGTGAATAGATGAATAATACAATAAAATGTCACTTTTAAGGGTATGAGTATATAATTATGTCGTTAAGAAATGCAACTTTGATTTTAATAAACTATAATGCTAAATTATTGAGAAAAACAACCCAAAAATAAAACATCAAGACATACACATTAAGAAAGAATGGCAAAGTACATAACATGGAATTTGAGGTAGCAAATTTAAATATATCAACTCAGTGTCTTACTCATTTAAAATAAAAATCTTATACAAGAAAGTTGATCATTTCATTTTTGATGATCAATATTCATTGAACACTTAACGTATAATGAACAAGTTAAATTATTGCTCATTTGATTTCAATTACTACTTATATATTCTACGCTTTTTTTTATTAAAAGCGTTAATTTCCATTTTAAATCAATTATTGTGTGGTAACGGTAATTATATATTCATTGGTAAAAAAAAGAAAAAGGAGAACAAATCATGAATGATAATATTGTATAAATGTACAAAATTTTTTTTTTTGACGAGAAAAAGACAATCTTATAGGATTGATGAGTAATTTTAATGTCGCATGCAATATTTGTTTTGTAAAGCTACTTCTCTTGTCAAATAATAAACAAAAATTGTTTTTTTTTGAACCAGTTATCTACTTCCCATTTATCAAATATGGCTATTTGATGTAATTAATTTCCAATAAAATGTCTAGAAGAAAAAAGTTGAAATTTTGCTGGTGTAATTAGTGTTTGATTTAAGGAAAAGTTTATTTTATTTATTATTATTTTTGTTGGTTACTTCACAAATTATTACCAAATCTAGCGTTAACTTATCATTATCTTTTTCTTGTATTAATGAAATAGTTTTTTTGTACTTGAATTTATCAACTTGAATAAGATGAAGAAAACATATTATGATAAGCTGTATGTTGGGCTCTATGCTTATCAGGTGGGTAGTATATGCTGGCATCTCTAGAGTTATATATTTTGGAAGCTGATGGTCGATTGATTTTCTTCGTCTTATCTGATTGGTAAGATGATGGGTTTTGCATCCGATTGTATTGATCTATTGGATTATTGGGTGCATAGTAATCTGTTGCTAAACGTAATCTTTGTACTCGACGTGTTCTTTTCAATTCTTCATTAAGATCAACTTTTTCACTGTCACATGATTCACGTGCGGCACGACGCACAAATTTCATTAATCGTCTTCTCCATGATTCACGCCATGGTAATATTACACTATGCGTATCAAGTAATAACTCCATTCTATCTCCATATGGCATCTATCAATTGACAATAAAAATATTATTAAAAATAAGACCAAAAAAATAAGTGAATCGTTCATATGTTGTGTGCAGGCGTAAGCTGAAATGTGGGCCTGACCTTGATATATATATATATATATATATATATATATATATATATATATATATATATATATATATATATATATATCGCCACCGCGGTTTAGTCATTTGCCAAATATTATTTCGCAAGCAGTAATATTTATTCCTTCTTACTGGATCGATAATTAAGGTTGTCTACTGTGTGACTATGTAACAGATACAGACATACGCATATGTATTTCACTATGCTAGATTAGATCAGAATTGAATTAGCTTAAGTCAACATCTAATTTGGAAAGAAACGTTTTTCGAATGAAATCATCTGCTTGTAAAATCGATGGTCTTGCTAGAGGAACTGTGAAGAAAAGTTTGAATAAATTTGACTCTCTTTCAGTAGCCAAAATTTTTCAGCAAAAGCTTTTAACTGTTAGGCAGAAGCAGGAGCGATAGGAAGCCAAGCACGTTATTGGATTATCGTTACACTCATTCGGCTAGGCCTACAGTGATACCAGCTTGGGCAAGGTAATCATTCTAAATACTGTGGTATAGCTAAGAATGCATGAAGTTCACCTTTTTCCTAAAAATACTCGCAACGACTATGTGCTCATAGCCCTTGTCAAGGTATTCCCATCTTTTGCCGTCACATGACTGAAGTGCTCCAGAATAATTGAAAAAGATCGTCAGGTGCTTATCAGTCATTTGGAGGATAAATGCGTTTCACCTATTGAAGTTGAAAATCCTTTTAAACTGATATTGGACATGGGTTCTATGATTTTAAAAGGATGAATACGCTCCCCTGTGGATAAGGATTGAATTCGAAGGCAAACTACCTATTTTCCTTTTAGTTGATTTACTCAACCACACACTGGAACATTATTGTTTGCTAGATTGGGTTTCAGACATAATTTATTTTCCATAATCATATCAAAACAACTACGCAACTCTGAGACATGCTTCACATGGTTCTAGTTTTCTCGTCTACTTTGGGGTAACTTTAAAGGCCACCATAGCAACAACTCAAATAACTAATCAGGATTTGGTATGTCGCCCGGTAAAGTACTTTTCCATAAAATAGTGGAATGTGATTGGCTGTCTTATCACCTACAAGGGTGGCCTTTAAAGTCATCCGTTATCAAACTCTCCTTCCGCCCCGCTATGTTAGTTTTAAGGATCTTCATCCTATCCTATTTTATTGTGTGGATGGTCAGAGAAGAAGGCCTTTCTCAATTTCCCACCATAGCTGTTGAGAAATGATTTTAAAGACCACCTCAGAAACAATTGAAATGATCAATTAGGTTTCTTCATTTCGGCTGGAAAGACAGATTTTCATAAAATGCAGAAGTCTAATTGGTTATTTCGGTTATTACTACGGTGGCCTTTAAAGTCACTCCGACGAGACTCAAAGGCAGACGTAATTTAGTAAAAAAATGTATTGAACTGTGAATCAGGAAATGAAAGTATTGTAATGTAGGGGATAGCAAGTTAGTCTCATTTAACAACATATACCGACGTGGGATAAGAAATAGAGCTCAGAGGTGCTTGTTTTTTCTTAACTAAGATGAGATAGATAACTAGGAATGTTACACATGAGACAGCAAGAATAATTTCACTTGATGAAGTCGAGATGTCACAAAGAATCTGTTAAAACAAAGAGACTTCACGTTTAATTTCTCAAACATAACACTTCCAATCAAACCTCTTGAAGCATTGTCACCTGGCACTAAGCTCTGTCACTAGACCATCATCACACAGAAGGAGGATTCGAAAGTTTGGTTAGTCAAACAAAAGATTTAATTCCTTCCTCCGAAGAAGAACTACGACCATTCAAGTCAACTTTACTTGTTTGCTGTCTAAAATTCAAAATCTCGAAACAGAAGTACCATAAACTGCTATCCAAACAACACAAAACAGAAATAAGATAGTTGACTGACAACAAATACTTAGTCACCATACGTCCAGATAGGGTAGTGGAATTGACTCGCTGAGACTTTTGATAGAGTTCAACATTCTGGACAAGTAGTTTCGCGTCTTTATGGTCTATCAGACATCCACAAGGTTGAGTTTGCCTATGCGTCACATTCTGTATATGTTTGCGTTCCTTTATCATTCTGGGCACGATGGCTGACAGAAATTCTGGAAACAGCTGTAAGAATGGTAGCAAAAGCACTCGTCAAACGATGACTTCGAACTTGTCGATACGTATCTAGCAAGGTGATGTCTTCACTACATGTTGTCTCTATGTTTACCGATGTTCCCCTGAAGGAAACCGCATGCTTGTTTTACAGGTTTATCTATTCCAATAATTTGATTGTTGTTATGACTCCTAGGTATATTCAAGAGCTAGTCCCAAGCTGTACATTAACTGCCCAGTTTTTATTCAGTAGAGAAATATATTTACAGAAGGACGGAGTATCAATGGCGTCTCCATCTCGTCTTCTATTTGCAGTAATGCTCATCATATCCGAATATGAACTTGCCTTTGAAAATGTCTAACATCCACAGAGAAGTGATGGATCGCTTCAAAGATGGATTTGCCGTAAACCTAAACAGAAGCGGCAAATTTTCAGTTATATCCCCTTGAACAGTGAAAGGCATCTGAATATCTCTCCTACTGCAGCGATTTATCACGTATACATGGAAGATATATTAGATAGGAAATTCGGATTCTTCGAAGTAACTCTGGTTCAGAATGGATAATCAAGTTCATCTGTTGGTAAATATACGAGAAATAAGTTTGTTATATCACAAAACTTAACAGTACCTGGGAATATACCTGTATATGAATCTAAAATTCGAAAGTCGATTTCTACAAGCTGGCCTATTGAAAGCAGTTTCAGGAAATCCTCTGCTGCTTACCTGAGTGTTACTTTCAGCATACAAGTTCTTGTTCGTCATAATATCGAATATAAGGTCTCGTTATTGGCAACATACATGTATGTATTTATATTTACTTGCTTAAGAGGAGCTAAGTAGATAGGCCATACCAACAGGATACTTTAAACACGTGCTGGTGAATATTTACTAGCATGGTTATCGGAAACGAAATCCAAACCAATAAAAAGTTCTGTTTCAGAAAATTTTGTTCTGTCAGGCCACGCAGTATCTGCAAAATTCATTCGATGTAATATATAGAATGAAACCAAGCCGTTTAAAGTGATTTCGATTACATCTTCGTTGTACAGCATAAGCTCTACCTATTTATAAACAGAATCCTGAACTCTGCGTACATAAGCATTTAGTTCAGTCTGTTTTGTTACTCTGTAGTAGCTTAGTTTCACCTTTCTTTGTTTTTTGTTCAACAATTTTCTCTTTAATCTACTTCAGTTCCTTTTGTTACACTCCGAATGAAATACTTCCCACTGTCTCATGCATAACATTCCTATTCATTTATCTGAACTTAGTTAGAGATGACAAGCACCTCTGAACACTATTCGTTATTCTATTTTGGATATTTTTTTACATGAGATTGACCTGCCATCTACACTGAACTATTTTCATCTTCTGGTTCACAGGTCAATAGGTTTTGATAATAACTGACGTTAATACTTGAGCCTTGTTGGGATTATTCATGATATATTCAAATTGCGATATAGTTATACAGGTATGATGAGAAATTATGGGAAGGGTCCTCCTTGGTGATCAGTTTCTCTTTAATTCAGCCATTTGCAGCAAACGGTCCTGTGTTCGACTCTTAATGGGAAAAACATCACCCACTGAGACGCAGGTGCATCCAAATGACGAGTACCAAACAGAATGAAATGTGCGTCTTGAATTGCACTGCTAGACACTATCGATCACTGATATCAGGGTTTAATTTTTATCAGTCGCTTCTGATGAAGTTTGCCCAAGTAATATGGTGATAATAATGCTATCACATAAATCAGTCAGTATACTTGATTCTGTTTCATGGTACAGCATCTTGAAAACATCTCTCCGTAGAGATTTTATGATCATAATTATGATACTCAGGTAGGGGTTGTTTCAATCAACTCTTCTAATTTTAGTGTTATTGCTTGTATTACACCGTCATTAATTGGACCGAATTGATCAGTCTCTGTTGGTATATGGCGGTATAATACAAGCAATAACACTAAAACTATACCCGTCGCACAAGAAGTGGCTATTGTGGCTCGGTGGTGTAGTAGATAACTCTCTCGCTTTTAAGACTATCGCTTCCCGGTTCGAATCCCGGTGAGAACAACATCACTCACTGGGAGGCAGGTACATCCGGCTGACGAGTCCCAAACAGGACAAACTGCACATCCTGGATTCTTCTTATTTTGTTGAATAAAATTGTTGTTTCCCTTCATCATGCAATAACGAACACAGGATTTGCAGTTCAGTGGTTTATTCAACTAGTCTTTTTGCCTTTACGATTCACTGAATGCCATGATGCAACTTTTAGAAGTCTAATTAAGTCTACTTTTCACTCCAGCGATAGATGGTGGTTGTTAGAACACTAGTTTTTCGTTTGTATGAACATTTTTTTTCTTGTAAATCTTCAGTTATCACGTTAAATGTTCTAATCAACTCAGACTAATAAAGATATTTGTGCACAGAAGAAGAGGTTTGCTTCCCTAGATCTGTAGAAGCATTGTTTAAATAAATAATATGTAGGCTGAAATAATGAACTATTCTGAACGTTCATATCACAGGTCGTATCTTTTCTTTTAACGCTAATGATGATCAGCATGTTATAAGACTATTTATATCTATTGGGAGTGTTTTGTTTGAATCCAAGTTCAAATACACGCTCATATATCCGAAAATCCTAACAATGCGTGACATACCATAAGTCTTTATTGCAGTACTAATGTTCTGTGGTATATTTTTTATTTAGATGATCTTAAATCTATGCAATATTGGTAAGTAGGACTGTTTCAACATGAATCACAGTAGGACTTCATGCCTGGCTGGAATGAATACTAATAAATGCATGTAGGCATTCGAGTTTATCCACTGGTCATATTCGGTCGCTGAGTTTACAGTAATCTCATATTATTATCTTATCCCAAGTTGAGTAATGCAGAGTTGTGCTTTTCGCAGATTCCCTAGTGCACTTCAATATTTTTCATATTCGCGTAGATCGTAAATTGTGTAACTATGGGGTTAATACAATTACTCTGAAAATTCTACTTATCCATGTTGACAGATTGGTGGAGATTATAAAACATATCCTTCGATCCGCATATTGCAGCGAGAATTGAATGACCATGTTTTTATTTCATAGGGTTTAACCCCATCAGTAGTCCATTTGGATAGAATTATTTGTCTCAGCTAAATTCTTCATGAAATATAAGTAGCGACAACTGGCTATTCGACTTCTTTGGTATAACTTGTGCAAGCGCACTTGTAATATACTACACTACAAATAAGAGAAACGGTCATCTGATTCCTAAGCGATGTGTTTTTAATCGGTGAGACTTCGAAAATCATTGAAATGCATCAAGCAACCTCGTATACATTCATACAGTAGGCAGTCAACCACACGTATTGTGTAAGGGCTAATGATAGATACTACCTGGCTGCCCAAACTTCGGTAGGTGGAACTGTGTTCGGATCCATGATCCACTGATTGAAAATCAACTGCCTAGACCAGCGAGGTACAGTCAAACAGGTATATCAGAGACCGTAGTTTTTCACTTCCCACATACTACACCAAGTCTCCTCCTCATTGATAAAATCGTGTTAGTGTAACACTATTAAATATTAATTTTTCTTAATTGTTTCCGGATTTCCAATCTTTCTCCAACTGCTGTCATTTCACGATGAAACCTTTAAAATCAAAAAGGAAGAAGTCTGTTTTGTAAATTAAAGAAAACATTGTTAAAGCCTTACTGAAGTTTTCAAGGTAGTATTCATCATGAACTGATGCCATTCAAAGAACTAACGGAAACTGATGAGCACTGGGCAGCTGTTACTCCCTGGTATTGTACTCCTCAGGAGTACGCATACATGACTCCGCCAGGGGTCAAAATCAGGGCCTTCAGGTATAGCGCTCATTAGTGACATGGTTCAGCATGGATATCTCAAAGTTATAATGGGAAGCAGTGACCCGTGGGGCAAACCAGTTAGAAGTGAAACGGATGCCATCTGAAGACACTGGTGGATAGTCGTGCTGTACTATGGACTGACATAAGTAAGAAACCGTGGACCATTAAACAGCAACCCAGTGGTTGAATGTTCAACGCGTTCGCCGCGAGACCTAGGGGGCCTGAGTTTGACTGCTGGCGGGGCCGTGGGTGGAAACTGTTGAGGAGTCTCGTACCAGGACGAAACAGTTATCCAGTGCCCACAGGTTTTCAATGGTTCTCGAACTTATGTCAATCCGGTATGAATACTGTTTTAAAAATAAAATTCCCATAAACTTCAAAGTACATTATTGAAATCTGTAAAGAGTAGAAGCTTTTAAAAACACTGTTTGCTTATTCAATGACTTTCATTTCTGCTCTTCAATCATTTAATTACCTGATGTGAATGTGTTATGAACAGATAAGATTGACCGACTTGAAGATTTGGACATGGACAACGTCCGTGACGTTTATCTGCTGGATTATTCTTAAGTTGTAGCCAAACTCGATAGGCTGGTAGATTTGGTGATGCAGTTTTGGGCAATAAGTGTTCAGCTGTTCCAGTAATACGCCATGTATTTTGAATGCCAACTTCAAGACGCATTAAGTTTCCATGAATTGCACGAGATTTGACAATACCACGAAACACTATAAAAATATGAATAAATCTGTTGATTTTGCATACTTACAAATTTATCATAGTGTTGAATAAAACACTTAACCATAGATTGTAATATAAACTTAGGTTATTATTTTAAAAACATATGAAATGTATAAAAACTTTGAAATTGACGCCTACTATATTGATTATTTTTAGTGTATATGTGACTGTAAATTATTAAACCAGCGAAGTAAATGCAATACTCGACAGGTATTACTTCACATCCTACTTCAAATTATTATTCTACTATGATAGACATCTATTACATATACACCAAGCAACAGATGCCTCGATCTTTGAACTACTAAACTCTAGTAGCTAACATTTTTAATACTAGTCATCTAAACTTGATGAAAATCATACGTTATCAAAGCCAAAATACACGAGTTTCCAATGCAGTTCAGTGCTGTTAGGTGGTATCGCTCACCATATCAGAGGATAAATTAGTTTATATGACAAGTTGATGAAACGTTGAATGTTACTTCAAGGATTTTACAGCGAATGTGATTACCTGACAGTCTGGGAGTCGCGGAGTTGAGAAACTGCCTAGCATTATGTGATTTGTACAAGGTACTCAAGTCACATCTGTAGTCTGAAATTTACATCAAACTAAATATGGGACTTCTCATCAGTGAATCTAACAACATCCCAAGACAATTTTTTTATGACCAATGTCAAGCGAAAATTTAGTAATACTACTCCATAAATGATTAGGCTTTCAATATGATGTGATTACAAAATTATCCCAAATGAATACCCACAGTCATAGCGGTTAACTACATTCTACTTAGAGCATGCATAACTTCAACATAACTTTTTAAAATATAACTAGGAAATTTTCACAACTTGGATATAAACTTCTGTCTTTTACACCCTTCACGCTTTGATTACCTTCAAGTCTTACTTATTTGCCATCAACCTTCGATAACTACTGATGCTTTCTTTCATATGTCTAATTTTTTCTACTCATATACACAGTTTAAGAGCATTTAATGTTATCAAAGGAGTAGATACCAGTGACTCTGAAAGCTACCCTAACAACAACTGAAGCAATCAATTAGAATTCCTTATTTGAAAAAAATCTGAGTTTTCAGTTAGAATGAAGTAATCTAATTGGCTATTTCTGTATTGTTACCAGGGTGACCTTTAAAACACGGATAATATTTACAAAGTCGAGCACACTGGAAAAAAATAGATTCACCGATTTCTTTGTTTGGTAGTACAATAATAGCTTTAGACTGCTAGAAAGTTACTCACGATTTATTTTGTAAAAGGTGGGGTTGTCATCGTGAATAGTCCTTCGGATCAATACTGTATACCCTGCTATATAATGGAAACATTGATCAGTCAGATACTATATATATATATATATATATATATATATATATATATATATATATATATATATATATATATATATATATATATATATATGGACTATAAAGTCATCAGATCAAGATGTTGGTGTGTTTAATATTTATTGATTCTGTATGCAAAGCTTTACTTTTATTTATATTTCGAATCCAAGTAGGTATAAAAAGCTGTTGAATGCTTCACTGTTCCAGTGTACACATGAATTTGTGCAGCCAAAATTTACTCATGTTAACGCCTTTTATTTGATTTATAATTTGGAGATCATTGATAAAATTCCCGATAATCCTTTTGTGATGTCTACAGTTTTTGATTTATCAATGAACGTGAAAGCAAGTTTGTATGTATAAGAAATCCCATTTCTCTTAAGGTTATAGGTGTATTTTGTTGAAAATTGGCAACAAGGTTTATAACTTTCTGATAACTTTCAAATACCTAACACCAATGTGATGAGTTCATTGGTTTAGTGGTTACATTTCCTATGTGACAGAACGAATTCAGTCAACACCTGGGATTCGAAGACATGAAACTGTTTACCCTTTACTGACTTATCAATGTAAACTAAAGGTTTAATGTTATGGCTTGTATTATACCGTCGTTGATTGGACAGAATTGATCGGTCCTGGATTCCACTGCTAGCCACTATCCATCATTAATATAATTAGAACGCAGGCGATGTCGGGGCATCCACACAGGAGCCCATATGCCAATAGAGACCGATCAACGACGGTATAATGCAAGCAATAACACTAAAACTATACCCGTCGCACAAGAAGTGGCCATTGTGGCTCGGTGGTGTAGTGGATAACGCTCTGAAGTTTGAAGCGATCGCTCCCGGGTCCGAGTCCTGGTGGGGACAACATCATTCACATGGAGGCAGGTACACCCAGCTGACGAGTCCCAAATAGGAGGAAATGCGCATCCTGGATTCCACTGCTAGCCACGATCCATCATTAATAAATGAAAGCATACTTGATAGCCAAGAAGAAGTAGTAGTTCTAGCTGCGGATGATAAGGTTTCGGATTTTATTCTTAAACATTTCACCACCAGGCTGGGTGACTTGATCAACAGTTATGTTGTGACGTAAGTGCATATACTGATGGCGAGTAAGGCTTTAGTTAGTGTCTGTAATTCTAAGCGCTTTGAACATAATAACAGAATTTACTATCAAAGTGAGATATTCAGACGGTATTAAGCTGCATTCATCAGTGAATTTTCATTTACAATCCATTTTTACAAGCAATTAGTTGATTCGATCGCATATACTTATGACGCTTGATAAATTTGTATATAATGGCAATGAAAAGGTTTATGGAATGAATGGAGTGAATTTATCTTTTTGTATCACCTTTTATCAGTTGCATAAAGCCTAAAGTTAGACGGATTATCAGAGTAACATGCATTTACTGTATGTATTGGCTTAACTATTTTGAAATTAAAGTATTCTGATAAGCGCATAAATTTCCGAAAGTGACATTATAAATTGTACATCGAAATCACTGTTAACTAACAGGTGATTTGATACGGAAAGAGCTAGGAGGGGGAGCGGAGAACAAATACAATAAAAATTGCTGTTAATATAGAAATTGAATGAATATACTTCACACATGAAAGAAATAGTGAGTATAAAAGTGAAATTAATTCAGTATGTTAAAAACAATGGGTAGGAAAGGAAGGAGGGCTTACTGAAATACAATGAAATAAAACTGGAGTAACTAATGTCAGTGAAATCTTTTTAGTGAGCATAGGTTTGATTTATAATAGCTTCTGAGAAGTATCGTGATTCAGGGATTATTTACTGGTTTATTATTTTAAAGGTTTGAAAAAAGCGCCACCGAATGTAACCTACCCTGAAGATAAGTAGGATTTGATAAGTAAGAAGATTTTATATGTCTTCAGATAAGTTCTTCCCAATTTATTCATCAAACTAGAAGGATGTTCTTCTACCACTGTAGTCCATATGATGTGAGAAGGATATTTATTCACTGTAGATTTTTTTTGTTACGCCTACATTGTTATAAATCATTCAGTGGAAGGTGAAATCCTTGTTATTGCTTCATTGATAATTCTGTTTGCATTCTCCGACAGTCAGTCTTATTGGAATGCGAATGAAGCTAGGTTCTTTTCAAGGTTTCAATGTGTCATTCTTTTAGTTTGTTTTCCCTACATTTCGAAATGCACCTTTTGGGGTAAAAATTCCATCAATGTATGATTTTGATGATGATTAGTTCTTTTAATTTGTTCATTGACCATAAATGTTCTGCTCTACTGAAAGAGATCTGATTAGTGATCCATGTCTACATCCAGCCCATTCTCTGGTTTCTCGTGAATTGTCTTCCAAGTAGCATCATCATTTCTTCGTATACTACGATGCAAAACGTTGAACTCACTTTTGTATCCATACTTCAACGTAGGCTTTGTGAAGGTTGTCTATCGGTTTGTGATGCCCAACTATGATCGTTGCACATGATAAGTGCGTTTCTTTGAAGTCTAGATTCAATTCTGTATGTTCGAGATTACCCAAAAAGTTATCAGCGCAGACTTATTTTAAAGGGGGTGGTCAGTCCGTTGGCCTGGCCAACTGTCATCGAATAATTAGGTTTTGATGCAGGTAAATTAACACCATTTTCTCTTATCGCCATAACCCACCTAATGCTTATTTCTGAGTTGGGTTGAATTTTCACATATAGTCAAATAAACTAGAAACTTGAATGGATGAATAAAGTCATTTTCTCCAATGATCAACAATAAAGGAGAAGTGAATTGCTTGCGAAATTTACAATTTTACGTTAAGCATTTACAAACATTTCTCGGATTCTCCTTTAAATGAATTTCATGTAAGAGTTTTTGATGGTTTCAGATTCCTTGGAAAGTTACTGTACTGATGATTGTTTGGTGTTCCTTGACCTTAGGAGTTTCTTTTTGAACGTTTTACCATCAAGTAATTGATGAAGTTACGCATTTTCAAGCTGCATGTCAGTCAACAGTCACGTGCATACTGACTCAATATATGAATTACTAATAAGGTATCAGGCAACCGGGAATCAAGAATGCAAATCAATAATCTGATATTAGGTAATCAACATAGATCAAATGGTCACAATGGTTATGTAGGTCGACACGTGATCTAAGAGTCTACTTTGCCAACAAACCACTGACTCTCAAGGTCAGCAGTATGCTACATAAACATCCGCACAACTTGAAAATCCCTCTACATGGAGTACGTGCTGATGAAGTCACGCAGCTTGGTAGTGAAATATCTAAGAAGAAACTTCAAAGCTTAGAGAATATTGGAAACTTATCAACTTCATCCTGAGCTACAGATTTTCTCTGCTGTTTATTGGAAAGTTCAGTAGCTGCCCTTAATAGGTGTAACTTAATAAATAGGAACAATTAGGGTACAAACCAAAGCATTACTATATTCAAATCAACTAAGTACTCAAGATTGTCATAAAAGGGAAGAAAGAAAGTGCTTTTGAATTATGAAATGAATTTTTACAGATAACGGACTTCAGCGAGCATATACTGAATACACACTATAAGTTAATCATTCATGGAATATACTGTCTATGAAGTATTTATCTAATGTTCAAACGGGCTGATGTAAACATATCCAAGAGTTCCTGGAATATTACATGGTCAATTAAAATTTTTCACAGTTTTTATCAATGCTGTTGGGATCTACTTAAATAAAATATATTGGCAGAAAAATACATTCAAACACAGTTCTACTTTACCAGTTGTACTGACACATAGAAAGAAGTGAAATTTTTATGTTCCCAGCAGCAATATCTATCATCGTCAGGTTCAGACTACTTGTATGATTCTTATGGAAATCTAATCGGGTGCTTGAATTGCTTGCAAACATGCAATAATATTTCCCTAAATTGAATTTGAAGGCTAGAATTAAGTGACTGAGATTAATACTGATAAACTTATTTAAAAAGCAGTCATTTGTGCTGGTTGTTATATGAAAACTTGACTTCAGTTTAAAGTTCACTAAACTATTCAGCCTTAATGATAATGGACACAGGAAACAAGGATTTTATTTACAAGTGAAAGTAATAATTTGCAGCTGCGTAATGTTATAGGTGGGAAAAAAGCAAACTCACCAGTTTACTAGGGCATTAAAACGAAGCTTTCATAAAAAGGAGAACTAAAGACTATTTTAGCATAAAACAACATGCTGAAAACTTAAAAGATAGACAGCTTCCACAAGGATGTTTTGCAATATATGGAACAGTGTAATTAGGCTGATGGAGTCAAAAAGACGACGAAAGCTTCACGATTAAACAACCCAGGAAGCCAACACACACTGATCAAATCCTCAACTACAATAGCAACAACGCACAAAATCATTTGCGTACAGACTCTATTCAGAAGAGCGAGAACACACCGCAGCGCAACAACTTCACGGAGAAACGGAGAAAATTACTTGATGTCCACCCTAAACAAGAACGAACGGCTACCCATGAAGCTTTATCAGAAGATGCCTATCCCGTGGATCATCAACTACAAAGTCATTGACAGAAATCAATAAACGCATCATCCAACCATACATAAAGAATATATCAGAAATCGTGACAAGATTACTGAAACCACTTGGAACTGGTGTGGCTCATAAACCAGCAAATTCCATCCAAACACTATTATGCAGACCGAAGGATGCAACAACCAAAGAAGACAAACCGAATATCATTTACGAAATCAACTGAAATAACTATAGTCAACACTACATTGGACAAAGTGGTCACCCTCTACGCCTTCGTCTATATAAAGACCAATTGGCTATTAAACGTCACGACATTTCGTCACTCATTTCAATGTATGTGGATAATTACAGACATGAATTCGATTTCGACAATGTAGAAATTTTGGACAGAGGAAACACAAAGAATATCAGAGAATCCTTAGAAGCTTGGCATTCAGGTCATTCCGCAACCAATAGATATATAGACATAGACCCAATCTATCAACCAATAAGAAGGATGATAAACTACAGAAAGGTGAGAGGTGAAGCAGAGGAACAGCTAACAGGAAGATCTATTCAGTCAGTCAATGACACAACAATCAAGGAAAACAACCAAACACAGACCGCTTCGTCAAGGCAGGCTACCAAATCACTCACGGAGAGATACTGACAGCTCACTTCATACTGAAGTTAGTGTTGATGATGTCGTCTAGCAAGACGATGAGAACTTCACGATTAAACAACCCAGCTCAGAGAACGCAATACAACCGAGACCATCCACCTGAGATGCAAATATTCTCCATTATTTCAAGATATTGTGTGTTGAATTTTTTGCGTAGTAAAGTATACTCAAATAATATTAGATTAGGTCTGTTTAGGTACTAAGGTCATAACTTAGTCTAACAGAAATGAATACGTTTAGTGTTGATAAGAAAAACTGTATTGGGAGTATATTTGTGAAATTCCTATAAAATAACCCCATACGTTATTCGAATCATTAAAAAATACTTCCATCATGAGCTAGGATTTAGTCATCTTTCCTTTCAACCTACACGTTACAAAATGTATCTTTTTCTTGTTTCAAAAATCTTCGCAGAAGTACCTGGTCATACTAGATTCTTTTTTTAATGAACATACATCATACGGGAGGTCTTTTTTCCTCCCAGTCTATTTAGAACTCTATACCGATAATTCCGTTAACCACATTTTTGAAAAATAGTCTCAAGAATTATTGTTTCATAAGGTTTATATTTCTGTATTTTGTGGAAAAATTGCTCCTGAGTTTGCAGGTTCGAAACCTCCGGTAGGAAACATAATGATCATAATCGTATCTTAGTACTAATTTGATTACTATCAAAGAAGCACAGTAGATGCCATCTTTGTTTTACATCAGACTACTTTTTATAATCTTGGTAAGAATGTCAAGCTAGCCAGGTGCACCTTTATAGACTATACTTCAGAACTTGATTCTGTTCCAAGATCTCTCCTATTAAACAAGCTAACCAGAACACGGGCTGAGGCCTGGATTATTAATTCACTGTATTCCGCTTTCTGTGAAAAGAAGCAATATACTGTTCATAGAGGGAAACGCTCCACCTCACCACCACCACAACTCACTCAGGTTAGCCATCTTCAAGGTGCTGTTCCTTCCTCCTTTTTTCCTTCTGTGTGACTTCCCATCACCAGCTATATATATATATATATATATATATATATATATATATATATATATATATATATATATGCGTTTGCTGCTTCTGTCCATCCCGTGCTGTATGACATGCTGGAGATTCTGTATGGTATTCCCGAAAAATCTTTCGGAATAAGGATATTATTACTATTATTGTTACATTCTTGTTTTTCGGCTTCACCAAACATTCCACACAAGCACTACAGCTTATTGCATCAAGTTATGAGTTCACTACGCAGTAGTTAAACTGGAAAAGTAGGTCATGGGTAAAAACTGTCTAGTAAATACCAGATAATGATGATATTAAATCACCATTACACAATTATTGTTACTGTAATCCAGGCTGTTTAGAAAGTCAAAAAAATATTTTCCTGGACTTTTCGCTGTCTATGCCACAACGTCTTCAGCAGGAGATTCGGATTTTAATTGAAAATAAGAACCCGGATATTTCGCTGAAGAAGCTGTGACACAACAAGCGAAACATCCTGAAAAATTTTGTTTTGGTCTGGAATCATAGTAAAACTTACTTATATTATGACTAAATCACACTCGGTTCTCAAATTCTTCCAGAACATTAGTAAGATTTATGGACTGGATATCTATAAAATTGCTATAATCTAGTTCCCGTTGCTTATTCGGCTAGTACTACCTTACAAAAGGTGTACTTTAATCCTTTTGTTTGATTTAATTGACATTTACAACTAATAGAACAATATTTTATTGCTGCTGATTGTTACAATCAGCCTTTTGGATAATTTTGTTTTGTTCAAGGTCAAACTTAAAATATCATGATAACTAACAAGTCCCTTTGTATTTTGCAACTGAGATCCCATATTTATTTACAAAGGAACATGGAGACAATTTAAAAATAACACTTATAATGAGATGAAGAGAAACAAGATTCATGTGTTCAGTGAAACAATAATAACAACAATAGCAGAAGAACTTACCCGCTTCACATCGACAGAACTTCTTAAATCTTATTCTCTTTTTACTTCTTTCGCATGGAGGACATTTGGCATCTAGATTACATTAGTTTTTTTAAAATTCGGAATTAAGATACTGATGATTTCCAACTGGATTTAAACACAAAAAGCGTTATTATCTCACTGAAATAAGAATAACTGATAACAAACGAGCAGTATATATCAATTTTACTGATGCCCAGTAATTAAATGACTTTATTCGCACACATTTCATATGCTTTTTATAAAAGGCAAGTGAAAAATGGTTTGTTGCTAAGATATTCCAAAACCATGCTTGAATGATGAAAAGGTAAAGTATACTGAAAGTTTTAAGCATATCTATCATGCTTTTGGTACTTATCAGTTAATGTACATCCCCATTTACTATAGGATTCATATTCCGTTCAACCTTTATACCTCAGTGACGATTTCTCCGACTACATTAATGAACACCATATTTTTCAGTATTTTTGGGAAGTAACTTACACCAAAGATTCAGACATATCTTGCTAAGGATTTCTGAGTAGAAATTTAGTGGTTGGTAAGTCTAACTACATTTTTGTCTGAGCATGTTCCTAACTGGTCTCAACAGACGATTTAGCAACAAGCCTTAATCAGTCCTTATAGGTGTTTTCACCCAATTTTGATCAAATACGTATGATATACGTGATTTTCTTCTGCATTTTTGCAAATAAACCGTTTGCTATAATCGACTTCTGACAAGTACTACTTGAAATTTTTTTCTAACACGCGTTTTGTTGTTCAACTTATCTTAGCTACATTTTTTTATTTGGAGCTGAATGACCGTACACTAGTATGAGCGTAGCAGTTTTGTTCTAAGTGGATAGTTAATCAGTATGTATAACCTAATACTATGTTTAAAATTCAGTGCATAACTATGCTCTGTATGTTCATAGCTCATGTGATTCGAGCACAAGTCTATGATTAACGCTTTTACAGACAGTGTAATCTTGCAACAACTTATCTTAGCACATGCAAGTGGTAAGTTGTAAGTGACCACAACTTTTGAATGTGTTTTTTCGCTCATTAAAAGTTCATTAGGTGAAAAAAATAAACAGTCTTATTTACCTCAACCTGTCCATTGGTACTACAGGATTATACTTTTGACTATATGAGATAGTAGACTTATATTAATACTAGGTGATAATTGAAGGTGAAATGAAAGTTCGAAAGGTGGCTGGGTTCGAACCAGCGACTATCAGACTCCCAACCTGGTGCTCTACTAACTAATCTGCAAGGTGCGACTGCTGACCAGATTTTTACTTCACTTTAATCACTAAGGGTTTTGCCCGACTACCATGTGAGTTCGTGATGCTTTACTTCTGCTTATCGTACTCCCACTTGGTGCCCAGTCAGAACTTCTCATTCTAACCCAAATCTAACTGAATTAGAGAGGAGGAGCATCATATTGATGACCATTTTGACTATCTGAGATAGCCGTGGTTTGATAGACTTGTATTGATATTGGGTGATGACTGAAGATAAAGCTGTTCATCATAGTGCTCTTGTACAGTGGTCAAGGAAGATACATTTTGTCTCTTATCAAATTATTGAATAACTGAGGATGAAACATCGAAATATTAAGAATTTACAGGATTAAAACAAACTATTTACCGATTCTAATTGTCAACTACGAAAACACTCGGCAAGGACATAATTTAATGTATAAATTTATACTACTTAAATTGTTACAAGTAAGCTAGTAGCTTCGTTCGACAGAAGTAAACTTTATTTACTGGTATGTACTACTTTAAAGCGTCATTTTAGAATTATGACTATCTATTATCTTCGAAGAGAAGTATGACACGTATTACAGTCGTAACTATTTTGTGAAGATTATTAGTCATCTGAAACCGCCTAACAAGTGTCTGGTGGAAGATAAAATACTAGTCCATTAAATAATATTTGACAGTATAATAGAACTAGACTAATATTTAAAAAGTATCACCTCTTGCATATAATCGTACTTGAATGTCGCGAAAAACACTGCTCATTTTGGTGAAGAGATACCTCTGTAAACAGAAGAGATAAACTGCTCTTCTACATTCCACCACTCTAGGTTAGATACAGACTAGAGTAACAGACTGCTTCACGTTTATTGAAGTCATTCTGTGCTAAAGAAAGGTCTAAAGATTATTCTCTCATCGTATATTAAGTTTCAGTCAGCATAGATAATAAAGTGGTAAAGACTAGGTAGAAATCGTCATAAAAAGTTATCTGAAGTGGTATGTTTCAGTGGGACGACATAATTACATCCAAAGCATTCAGAGATTTAGTTGTAAAGTACCGATTAATATTTTAATTCATTTAGTCTGTCCAACTATTTTTTTACAGCATCTTTTTCTTCACTTCTACTGAACTAGTCGGTGTTATATAATGTTGAATATGTTCTGTCCAGTACTACGTAAGTATTCGACAGTATTGTACTTTTTTACCCGAAAGTGGTGCACAGAATCTTTTATTTCATGCATTGCAGTACAGGTGGTAAATATTTCATAGAAATAAGTCACTTTACTACAGTCCATTCCTTAATCTTTTTTCAGATTCCATTAATTGTCGGATTGTTGATGAACCATCATTTTCGTACTTCTAATAGGGGTTAATAAAGAACCTTCATACTCACCCAATATTCGAGTGATCCTTGCAAATTAATTACTTTGTAAACGATGTAAAATAAGAGTAGCCTTGTTGTTCTGGGTCGCAAGATTTAAGGCAAGGCTGAGAAAACAAGATAATAAGATACTTTTACCTCTGGAAAGCGGTGTGTCAACGTAATATGGCTTAAACAGTAACTGTGTTAGATAATTGCATATTAGATTTTTTTATTTACTTGATGATATTTCGAGCATAAATTATTGCTCATAATCATATCAATGTAATCACACTACTTGAAACATCTGTTTCCAATAGTCCTACTACCCACCTCATATTCCTGGTTTTTATTGGTACTAGGATTTTCCATATCTCTGGCATAGGTGTTGCATCATTCCTAATACATGTCTGTCAGACAGGCGGTGGTCTGGATACTACCGCCGACAGGAAACCAACACATTCTAACTGGTATCTACACTGCAAGTCGTTTCATCCAATGTCAGTTAAGGCAGGTTTAATCAAATGTCTGAATGATAGAGATAAAAAACTCACTAGTCACGGCAAAGACTTAAACAAGGAATTGGCACATAAAAAAGCATTAATAATGAATAATTATCCTCTACCGTTTGTCAATAAATTCGTACAAAAAGCCATAAGAAACATAAGAAACAGTAATACTAATACGAATAATAGCAATTACACGAGTAGAAAGCACCTCAAAGCCATTGTGTTATCATATAAGGAAAGAACATCGAAAACTGTACAAAGGTTTCTCACCAAGCTGAAATTACGGTGACGTTTAAATCTACAAACTCATTCACAGATAAGCGTTGTCGGCTTAAGGATTCAGTTGATCCAATGGAGCAAACTAAACTAATCTACCAATTCCATGTAATGACTGTGAGGTCAAGTACATAGGTCAAACTAGCCGGTCGGGGTCAGTTTGATTCTAGGAACATAGGAATTTAGCTAAATATGGAATGACATACCACAACAAGATCAATAATCTAGAAAAAACAAGCGGCTGTTGTAATGCATATATTGACACACAACCACACAATAGGGTGGGATAAAACCACTGTATCGTTTAGTCCAGTATAATAAAGTGGAGAGATTGATTACTAGATCTTTGTTCATTGAGTCAACACCCAATACTTGCAATAGGAATGATGCAACACCTATGCCAGAGACATGGAAAATTTCAGTACTAATAAAAACAAGGAATATGAGGTAGGTGGTAGGACTACAAGAAGTAGATGTCAGAACTAGTGGGGTTACGTTGATATGATTATCAGCAATGATAATTTATGCTCGAAAAGTCATGAAGTAAATAATGCTATGTCACTGTATGATATGTATCAAATAAATAAATCTAATATGGAATTACATCCTATCACAGTACTCTAGTTATTCAGTATTAGATAACCCTAAAACATGAATGGTGTTGATTAAGTTTTACTCTTATAATCGGAATCATCTAAAATACTGTCTTGTAGCTTAATGTTCGGTAATCTTATGAAGAATACGTAGTTACTGGATATCAATTTCTCCATATCTTGTAAATAAACGTCAATTTGTAAAAAGACATCATCCTTCCAATCATTGTACAGCAAACTATCATCGTATTCTGAAAGCAGTTGATGTCATCTACTCTTGGGGAGTCCTTGAGTGGAATGTGAGACCTATTTTTGAAGTAACTGGCTGTTGTACTGAAAATCAAATTCAGACAGTGACTGTATGCTGTGAAAGAGTTTCATTTTTATATGACTTAGATGAAAGGTGTGCATAGAACATCTAGTTTTCTGTTAACTCTTGAAACAATCCAGATTAATTTATAGTCACACTTTTTCAGAAACAAAAGGTAATCATTATTAATAACAAAATAAGGATTGAAATTACATGATCGATGATAACCAATGGAACGATGTTACTCTGTGCTTCGCACTTAATTAAATTCATCCCCAAGGTATTCGTATAACGTCGACAAAACTCAGTGTCTTTCAAAAACTTCAGTTGTCATGCAATACAATTGTAAATAACGATTTTACTGGTGAAATATTGAAAGAACAAGATTCTCTATGGAACTAGATTAAGGACGACGAGGAGTCATAAAAGCATGGATAATGTTCCACTTCAATCTCCTGTCCTCAACATTATTTATGAGCTAAATAAGTCTTCATTCCTCTGCATCTCTTAAACATAACAATAATTATAATTGTAAATGTAATTTGGGGATTGCATGTATGGTCAGACTATTTGAAATGTGCATTACATGTTTCAAATAACTTTTTCGTCATGCTATCCAAATTTAATTATAAACCGCTTCAAAATATATTTCCATCACTCACTGGGTTCCGGCTTTGTTGACTGAGATTTAACGGAGTGAGCTGAAACAAGAAAAACCAGCGTAAGAAATACAAATGACAGTAATATATAATTAATTATAAACTTGGCAGGTAAAAACTGAAAGTTGCATAGGTCATTCATTGTAACATTAACTGAGTCTTTTTTCTGATACAATTCGAAATGTGGTATTTCATAGCGATATCAATTTTACCATTAAGTGTTACTTTATATTGACCATAATGAAACCGTAGTCTCATCAAATTATACATCTTGAGACTTCAGAACTAAATCTTAAGATATATAAATTTCTGTGCCATGATCCTTAGTTCAGAAAATCCCCTTATTGAGAATTTATTTGTATGACAGGATCACTTTTGAAATAGATTGAAATACTTGTTGTCTGAAAGACATTGGTAAGAAGTCTTAGAACTACTTTCTGTGCTTGGTGATTTCAGTCATTAAGGCTTATCCGCTAGCAACATTCTTCCTCAAAAATTCTAAGCTGTATTAGTGAGTGTAACAGTCAATTCTTTGGATGTTTCATGGCCACCTTACTGATAGATGCTATAAAGCACAAAAGGATAACGGGACATCCTACATTTTGCTTCGTACCTCCTAAAATCAGTCAAAGAGTAGTGCAGTGATGAAACTCCTGACTTAGTGACCGGACTGCAAAATGCTCACTAGAACTAGATTAATATTTAGAATTAAGTAATATGAAACTGGTTAGTCTTTATCCATTAGCAAGTGAAGTTCTAAATAATTCAGTCAAACTGTATGAATTTATTTAGTCTAATCTCTCAGAATTATTCACTAACTTAAAGTAGCATTCATCATGGACTGATATCAGTTGGAGAACTATTGAAATCCTGGGAGCACTGGACAGTAGTGATTGATCAAGAGGAGGACTCATGGTATGTGTTTACTCTGTTCAAGCCTCCTCAACTGAGTATAAATGTGAATACTCAAATTATGAACTCACAGTAGGGGTAAGGGAAAATTTATTGACTTAATTACTGTCATGTAAATCAATAGTCTGTGTATCGTTGATACGTGCACAATTTGACTGGTTAAGTTTATTATTTTTGTTTGAGGTCTGCAATTTTGACATTCAGAGTCACACTGATTTTCTTTTATTTCTATTTTATATTTTAACTTCTTGATGAGAAGTTAATCACTCAGAATTTATGCAGCTACTGACTTAGAATGGCTAATTAATTCGCACAAACTGAAAGTTGACCAACGACTCCTACCTAGTAAAAGAATACATAGTAGAATACTATCATAGTAACGCTTACTCTGTAATAAACCACTCATCAAAAAGCTGGAAGTCCTATCTTCTACTCTGGAAGGAACGGTGCACTGTAGAGTCTAAAAGTGCTCAATGATGGTTCAGACCTTCTATATGCAGTGAACCCGAAATTACTTGTGGGAGATGACACCAACAATTAGTTTTACATTTTTGACAAACGTACATTTTATCCACCTTCTTCATGCATAGAGCTTCACCACCATTTTATTCACTTATTTAGAAGAACAGACGACATTTAAATAATTTTCCAAAACAGAATGTAGTTATTTTCGATGCAACTGTTGATAAGTCTCTGATACTTGCAATTTCCTGTTGCTATACAGGGTTGAACAGTGGCCTAATGGATAACGCTTTGAAGATGTTGGTACTGGGTTCGAGTTTCAGTGGGAACAGCATCACTCACTGGGGTGGGGGCACATGCAGCTTACAAGTCCCGAATGAAACGAAATGCGTATGGTAGATTCCGCTGCTGTCCACTAACGTGAATATAATACTATGAATGTCCTGCCGCATCGAGGCATCCGCAAAAGGGATCATCTGCCAACAAAGGTCAAGTAATTCGATCCTGTATAGCAACGGTAAGTTACAAGTATCACGTGACTCATAATCCAATTTAAAACATCAGAAAAACTAGTTATAAATCTAATAAATAAACTAAATGAAGTTATTTTATGAGATGGATGATCATCTGTTAAAATATGAATCGTAATAAACGCGATTCAACCTTTTGTACCCGCCTAAGTGTTACTGAGTGAGACAATAACCTCTCGACTCCTCAAAGAAGCCTGGAATTCCCTAAACAGCCTTCAAAGTCAGTCATAGCGTGCCGAACACTGCGGAACAATCACATGATCATACATATGAGTCACAGGTTGACCAAGGTGTAAAACAAACCAAGTGCACCAAAAGTATATATAAACCGTAACTTTTTTTACATGTTCTACTTAACAATGAACCTTCATCTTTCTTGCCGCTTCTATTTTCGACGAACCGAGAGGAACATGGAAAAAAATGTTTTAATTGGTTTTTTTTCGAATACTCCAAAACCGAAACAGATTAAGGAATTTCGGATGTATTCATCACTGAGATACTGTTGATATGCTTTTACACTACACAGTACAAGACTGTCAGTGTTTTAACTGAATACTAAAAATAATACTTGCACTATGTAGGAGTGAGTAAAATAAGTGTTATTCATCAACAACTTTTGGTGCCATAACTTGTCTAATATGCGACAAGAAGCATCTATAAGCACAATGAAATAAGTTATATTAACAGAAAGTAAATGAAACATCTTCCTACGTCCCATCATCCTACGAGCTTTCAGTACAACGAAACGCCTAATAAACTAATACACAAAGTAGACTGGCTAAATATTTTATGCCACCTGCAACGTGTCTTTTGGAGACTAAATTATTGTTTCTTGGGTTTTGACAGAATTAAAATGAAACTGATCAAATTAGAGGAAAGTGTAGCTTGATGTCGTGTGCTAGTTGCTGCCTACCAAAGAACTTCAAGAAAACTCAAAGTTGAAAAAAATTTTAAAGTCATATTTTTATTTCCTTATCATTTAATATCTTCACAGTTCTGTTTCCTTTTGGTATGGAATCATAGTAGAATGTCCAAGTTCTGCTGTTACAGTCGTCACCTCTATGTCTTGTCTTATTCTGTCTATCAGACAGTCAGTCGTTTCAGTTTGCTAATGGGAGGGAGTTACAAAAATTTCCAGGGGAAAAAGAATATACAAAGTTACTTTCTTCCTACAACCAGCGAAATGTACATAATAGCATGAAGGCTTCAGGTATAGTCGGTTATAACATTCTGTGTACAACCTCCACTTAATTCGTATGTTTAAATTTCATCTAACATCAAGTTCACCCTAATTAATTATCTGACCGCCTTCAACTTATTCTCTGTTCGAAGTTTTGCAAAAATATGTATTCAAAAGTTATTTAGTGCAATGCTCGCTTCAAATCACAGTCATAATATGAGTAAAATGGCAAATAGAATTAGAAATTTTAGTCCTCAAAACTGACTGAAAAGTTAGTTGGTCAAATTTATCATCGGATGATAGTCATTCCAATGTTGGAAAGCCTTGTTTATTGATCCAGAAGTTTATTGTGACTGTTAAGTTATGCAAAATGACACTGTATGTTTTAGAATTTTGTTAGAATAGAATCCTAGTAACTTTTTTCAAATAGCGCTGTGAAAATACGATATCTGACACTTAAATGCTACACAACAATCACTTGTGAACTTTTTGTTTATTTCATGCAGAATAACACAGAAGAAACTAGAAACAAAGAGAAGTTATTAAATACTGAAACCAATCCCGGTTTGGATGGTAGCAGTCAGTAAGTAGAAATTGTAAATAATTAGCCCTAGTGCTCTTTTACAACTTGGAGTATATCCTTACTGCATGACAGACTGTGTAGTGAAATTACAGCTGATCATTTCCTTCATAGAACCTTCCTTGCAGGAGTGGATTCAGCAAGTTGCTCTATAAACACGAAGTAATCACTGATTGAGTAAACCGTTCGTTTCACTGTGGACGAGGACACAAGATAGTTTACACAAACGTGAAATACATGGTGAAGCAAATCCATAATTTATAAGCCTCCTCTAGGACGATAGACATATCTCTACGTTTATTCCATCTACAAATCAAGCACATTTAGAATATCTACTAAACCTTATTCATAAACATTAAGTCTTTCTTCAATGGTCAAAAGACAATACTAGCCACTGTGAAATGCTTTAATGGATTACATGACAAGTCTACACAGCTTCGGTCATCATATAAAAACCGATTACTTCTTATTATATCGTTTTTGGACTAGATTTTTTAGTAAGCGGTGGTGTGTAAGAACCAAGTTGCTTTCATTCCATATCCCATTTACCCAAGACAGCTTACTGTCGTTTTGTTGACTAAGCCTATTTTGGCTACTGAATAATAACAGAAGACATTTTACGAAGAATACTTGCTTCACTTAAGAACCTAATGAAAACCAAACTATCTTTATGTCCTTTTTCAATTTTTCCTCAGAATCGAATCAATTTTATCTCTCTTCAATGTAAATTCTTCACGTAATCGTCTATTTTTTTTCTCTTATGTTTAATATTCCCTGTGATGATGACAATAACAGAAGTAACACATTTTCAGCTGAATGGATAAATTGGTTGAAGCAATTTACTTTCTGGTTACAAATTAAATACCAATACGTTATTCATATATTATTTTATTTGTGCATTTAAACCTTGAAAAAAATCTTTTTGCAGAAGTAGAAAGCAATACTAGCAGTATTTTTGCTTGCAACAAGTAATACTACTGAAAAATATACCACCTAGTTTGCAAGCGAACAGTAATTAATTGAGAAATATGCTCAGAGCTTGAGGACCTAACGTGTGTGTGTGTGTGTGCGTGAGTGCATGTATAAGAGAAAGATAGAAGGTATATAGTTGGATAACAAACGGATCTGCATGCACTTGTATTATATTGCCTTGTACGTGTGTACAGAAAGGGAGTGATGAAAAAGTGATAATTAGCTGCAAAGGAATGCCGACAAAACGAACCTAACAAACAGTAATGCAATTTACTCTACTCGATTCCCCTGAGGAAGATGGAAACAGAAAGCTAATGTTTTGTTTTTTCAATTCAAACACATACAAATACAACCAGTAGTTTGTTCATTTCATGTTTAAGAGAAAAATAAATATTTATTTAGATTC